ATATAGTTATTTGTCAAGAGAAAAGACTGTACACATTGTATTGGCTATGCCGAATTTGTAAATATACAAAGCTTCCAACACTCAGTTTGTTTGGTTTGATTTAAGGGGGGACCTTTCGAAAAAAGAAGTTGTCCGATTTCGATGAAATTTTTCATGGCCGTTCTGTACCACAACATGAGTGTAAGTATAAAATTTGAGCTCTCTCACTCAAATAGAAGCTGAGATACTGAACGTTAAAATTGGCCAAAACAGCCTCAACTATTGTAACTCTCATTGGACTCACAAAAGTAAGATCGGTCATCTACGACCAGAATCATAGAGGGGAAGGATGTCCGAAGGGTTTATGTTTCCTGAGATTTCTGTAATGGCGAAAGAAGTTGTTCAAAATGGTGTTCAAAAAAGGCCCAATTTTATGTTGTTGAAAACGGGGAGTGGACGAGGTATTTTTCCTTTCGGACTGATCATTAACCCTTCGCGCATCTTTCCTCTACTTAGAGGTGTTTTTATTTTCGCTCTGCGATGAATACTTTCGGAGCGAGAGTTTCAATAAGATGAGTCGTTTTTAGGCCCATTTAGTGATATTCAAAATTCGCGGTGTGTCTGGCCGCGGCCGACTGGTGGCGCGGTGACAGACAGCGGGACTGCGTCGGGACCAGGCCAGGACGGGCTGCGGACGGTGGTCACTATGATGGGTTTACGACAGCTGACGGCAAACAATAGCCCTTTCGCTGCAGCCGACCCGGGCGGCCTGTGCAGCGCGGCGAGGACGTGCCTGCTCCGGGCCCCAATAATAGAATAGCGCTTGGGAGACCACCTCTGACGACTTAGAGTGCAACGGCTACGTCCACGCGCGCTGCGGCGTCAGTGCAGCGAACAGGCTCGCATGCTGGGGGTGCGACTCTCGGCTGCGGCCTCGCTGCTCTCTCTCTTTTTTTTTTTGTCTTTTATTACCCCGCTAGCGTAGCACCAAGTTCTGCTAGACGAAGAAAAGACCGCGCGTTGCTACTTTTGAGTTTACGTATTTTTCTGAATACCGCAACGCTTGACGTACGTGGTTTTGCAATTTACGTCAATAAAGTTAAAGGAAATCTGGCTATTGATTAGATCAGTTTATCAAACAAACATTTGTATTTGGATAATATTTTGTCAGCATGGACAACAGGTACAATGAATAGAATACACTTATTTGTGAAATATATCGTAGGAATGGTAAGCATAAAATCTTAAACTGTTACGACCGGGAGTCAAGTACAAAATTGGTGAGCATAAAATCATAAAATGTTACGAATGGGAATCAACAATATTGAAATGTATCGTAAAAAAATACGAAGAGTAATCAAGCACAATATTGCAATGTATCGCAAAACGTTACGAACTAATGAAAAAAAGTACAATGTATTATTTATACATTATGTCCAGAACGGTCCAACCTTTCTAATAATGTTTGCCGTTCATTTTCGCATTGAGACTGCCCATGTACAAGACATAAGTAGAAATTGATCTCTCCTCGGTGAAAAGTTCGTCCCAAGCCTTAACACGTCGCTCTTTCAGCTCAATTCTCTGAGGTCTTATGTAGTTTTGTTCATGTTTTCTCAGAGAGTTAATTTTGTGGTAGGTTTGAGCCTGAACTTGCAGCAAAATTGAAATGGATGAAAAAATGTTAGGATGAGCGGAATTAAATTGGGCATTAAAATCAGAATGGAATGCCTCAGCCCCATTGGTTGTAGCAGGCTCCATAGAAGGAACCGAGGCCCAGACGGTAGCAGGAAACCTGAAAGTAAATGAAGTGTAAGTTTTCGACATGTAGAAAAGACAGCTATCAAAACCAACAATCTAAGAGAAACGCATACCTTGCATTGTTCGCAGTGTATGTCTCTTTAACATATTTCAGGAATGCAGTAAAGGTGTTTCCTGGTGGCATTTGATCTTCGAGGATCCGGACGGCGTCTTGCATCTGGGAAGGATGAAGGCAAGAGAGCTTTAGACTTTAGACGCTACCCAGACGTCAACGAATGAAGTTTTTCAATTTCAGCTGACTACATCTTTTTCATGAAGACCTGAAGTGTCCATACACGTGCATATTGTTACTGAAATCAATGTTTATATGCGCTGTTAAGACCTTATAAGTCAACCCAAAATTTCGTGGTTTGCAGATCGGTTATTTCTTACGGGGTTTTCAGATCCGTTATTCTTGTTCGGGGGCGACGAACTGTTCAAATAGAAGTCTATGTCGAAGAGGTCTTGAGCAGGGCTCGTGGGGACCGAGATGTCCTCGTACTCCCGCATTGGAGGGTCGACCTTTGAGCCGGGGGGAGGCACGTAGCCCTCTTCCCCAAGCCTTGGTTGACGCGGCAGGGGCGGAGGAATTGGGGCCACGCCTCGCGCCCTGCAGTCGCTGATTTCCTGCGTTAGGGTGATCACAGTTTTATCCAGCGCTTTCACGACGCCGCACAGATGTTGGTTTTCGTCGTCGAGCTCTTTCAAGGCGCGCGACATCTCGAAGAAATTTGGGACGGTCCTGCCGTTCGCTTCTGCTGCCTTCTGGACCGCCTTCTTCGCCTTTGCAGACACATTTTCCCACATTTCGGCCCACACGTCTCGTTCCTCGGCAGGGGCTGCCGGGGATGTGAGGATATCACTGAGGGGGGCAGTTTGGGTCGAGGCAGTCGCGGTCGCCTGAGCCGCCGCGGGCGCAGCGGTGGCAGCTGCTGGAATGCACAAGGTCACAGGGTAGTTTGCACACACAGGCACAGCACAAGGTCACCGTACTCCGCAGCACGGCGCGCAGTGAGCACACGCCCGCTCGGTTCGGCTGGTTGACAGAGAGTGACCGACGCTCGGCTTGCCGCCCTGCTCTCAGCCTCGCCCGCACGCCCCCTAGCCTGTATCAAAAAAAAATTGTCATCGAGGTTGCACCCTCTAAAAATTATATGAAACTTGTAAAGACAGTGCGCAAAATCTAGGTGCCACCA